AGGGACACGTAGGACTCTTGTGGCTGTCTCGACTGATTTCTAATATTCGTTATGAGGTAATACTAGCCGTTGAACAGAGAACATCGCTCGATGTAGAGAACATATAAATCGAAAAATGTAAATATTCTGACGTATTTAATTTTAATGTGATTGAACTCTCCAGAATAAGAATAATTTTTATTTTCTCCCATATAACATTTACAACAAACAATAATGCAATTGCGATACAATTATTTAATGCAATTTGTAAAATTATCCTATTGTAAAATGTTTTAATCCACTAAAATGTATTTTATTTAACGGTAACTTTGATTTACTCTTCGTTTGTGAAACTTTTTAATTGGTGTACCCCTTTTTGCCCAAGTTCGATGAGAAACAGCAACAAAGATAAGTAAGATCACTGAATAAAATATTGCTGTTAACGAGTTTTAACTTTTTTGGTACAGTTGTTATCCTTAAGGACTGTGCATAAGGAACAAAATTTCACTCCAAATATCTAAAAATAATTTCATCAAACGAATAAATTAGAAATTAGTGACACTGCAACCTTTTAAGCTAAAAATTATTTATCTGTGACGTAATCATTTGTTTTTATACACGCCGTCGACTTTTGGGGTCTTAGGCAAGCTGGTTTCATCACGATGTTTTTCTTCACCGTACGAGCGAGCGTTAAATGGGCACCGGTAGAAAATACCGGGCACAGCCGGGATCGAACCTACGACCTCGCGGATGAGAGTCGCATACTGAAGCCACTAGATTAACACTTCTTCTTAGAGAGAAAGAAAAAAATAAAAAAATAATTTTGTATTTGTTTATATTTTTTTAAGAGACCGCTGATTTTTCGTCGCATTCTCGTCGGATATGTTACCCGTAAAATATTAAATGTATGTAAAATGTTAAATATATATTTTAGGTTAATAGTTTTGAATAAAATACTTAATAAACTGACTAAAGCCACAGAGCACCAGAACCACATAACAATTATTGTATGACCTATCGCTCTCGAAATCTACACCTTCAGATAAAAAAATTCGAACTATACCTATAGGTAATACATATTGAATTTTACTTTTGTTTTTAAGATCAACTTTATCTGCAATTAAACTGAGGTATGTCTCATGTACGACAATGATTAATATTATAGATGCACAATGCACATACGTAATAAAACCAAATGCCTAATGCTACTTGCCATATAAAATAATACAGTTTTTCCACATAAACAATATTTCTGACCAAACATAAATCTTTTTCGCTTAAACCAGAGATAAGCTATTCTCGGACTTCTAATAAGAAATAAAAACAAAATTGCCTTTGTGAATTGCGCCTAGCAAATTACCCCGTAATTAAGATTGGCCGTAACAAAGATGATGTTATAAACATTTCTTTTATTACAAAAGGTCTAAAATTTGTGTATTATGTAATTTTGTTTAGGCGTTATCAGTGAAAAGCGTTCGCATTAATTACTTCGCAACTTTCTCATTCAGTTACAAAAGAAAAGAGAGAATTTATTGTTTTAGGGGGTTCAGTAAGGATGATGACATAATTAAAAACAATGTAGTTAATAAACTAAGGCTTTATAATCAGTTAATTAAATCCAGTTATTTCAATTATTGACTAATTACCTAATGATTGATAGGTTGTGGTACAGCCAAAAACCCCAAATGTCGGCACATAAGGATGATTAAGGAAAAGTTAATCAGTTAAAATAATAAAAAATAAAGCCGTGTTAATTACAAAATTAAACAATTGGCGAAAAAAGTTGTTCAAATAAAATGTTCGCGTTCCAGTTAACAGCGGAGTTGGGCGATAAATTAGCTTTTTATCCCGTCGTTAAATTGCAGACCAGTAATTAGCATAAAACAGTAATCCTTTATTACTCAGTCGTACGCCTGACTTGCTAAGATGAGAAATCTGTTCAATTTAAGATCTGTAGAACAATAAATATAATTGCTGATATACGCCAAAACACTTAAGAAAGAACCTGTGTCTATGTGTCAAACTACCGATTAAAAATCTTATATATATACAGCAAAGCAGTGTCGGCCTAGTGGCTTCAGCATGCAATCATCCCTGAGGTCGAAGGTTCGATCCCCGGCTGTGCACCAATGAACTTTCTTTATATATAAACATTCGCTTGAACGGTGAAGGGAAACATCGTGAGGAAACCGACATGTCTTAGCTTAGACCCAAAAAGTCGATGGCGTGTGTCTGGCACAGGAGGCTGATCACTTACTTGCCTATTGAAAAATGATCATGAAACAGATTCAGAAATCTGAGGCCCAGACCTAAGGAGGTTGTAGCGCTACTGATTTATTTATTTTCTTTGACATACAGGAGTATTTTGTGCTAAGTCTTGACTCCATTTCTCCTTGAGCCATGATTAATATAAATGTTTCGATGTTTTAATATAGATCAGTACTGTACCAACACTTATATTAAATAGACGTATTCCGAAGAGCCTCGTTTTAATACAATACTCAGTACCTTATAAAGACATATGAATACCAAATAAGGTACAAATTTCCTCCTTGAGATATAGAGTAGGTGACTGTGGCAATCGGTACGAGTATATCAAGAAAGACAGGAAACCTTAACCAGTATAATGACACTACGGCAACAAGCCTTTGCTCTAGTGTAATGCTTTTCTGTTTATTAGGCTGAATTCCGACATCGGACGTTGTGGGAGATTCCAAATCTTCATCCTTTTCACTTTGCTACCTTATTTCAGCATACAGCGACAGTTTAAGGCATTTTGTGCCGCGCACCACTTCTTTGTGGAACCAGCTGCCAGTACAAATATTTTTAACCGATAGAGCGTGTGACCGGTAGGGTCCTTCAAAAAAAGAGCGTACCAATTCTTAAAAGTCCGGCAGCGAGTGTTCAAGGGCACTTAACATCAGATGAGCCTCCTGCCCGTTTGCCTCCTGTAACATAAAAAAACATAGTAATAATACTGATAATCATTTTATTAAAATTACGATTCTACTTTTAGGGGACCATTTGCATCTCTTAGACTCTACTGTTGCTAATTGATCGTCGTCTTACGATAAACTATTGGTACTTATTATTTGTAAGAAATAAAGATTATTTGGTACTAGAAATCATCGTATTATTTAGAAATTCTAGTATTTTACTAGCAAAACTCCATTCACATAAATGTACTGAACTATCTATTGAGCGCACTTTACGTTGCAATTTTGCGGCGGCAACACAATTTATATCCAAAATTGCCACTCCATTACTATGCGGCAAGTTTAATTTTCTTGTTAGATAGGGCGGTGAAATAAGAACGCTTATTTGGTTTGAATAATACTATTTACTATGTATATTTATTTTACCTTAATCTCTCAAGGTTGAAATGGACAAAATAATTACAGAATGGCAACCACGCGTTGTTAAAAGAAAAAGAAGAAGACAGAGCAAGAGATGGGCAGACGATATAAAGAGAATAGGACGCAGAAGGACAAGAAGAGCTAACATCAAAAAAAAATGGAAGCAGCTGGAAATAACCTATGTGTCACAGGACACACTGATTACCAAAACGGGTCATATGATGTACTTATTAGATTAAGTTAGGTTATGTAACTTAAATAAGTGTTAATATTTTATACTGGGTGTCAGCAATAAAGGCTTAGTAATAATAATAATTATCATTTTATTAAAGGTAATCTTAGCATACGTATTTAGCTTTTATACATAACTGCCGTGCGATTCTGTTAATCCGTGAGTTCACCTCGCACTAACAACGCTCCCTTCGTCACTCACGTCGTTTTTGGAACCTCATGGTATTCTATTAAGCAATTTCACATTACGTCTTGACAAGCGTAGGTAGTTTATTGTTTATCAGAATGCCAAATCGTAAAATGACTGCTTCACGACTGATTTGAGCGCGACCGCCGCTGCAAAAACCGCTGTGAGAGTTCGAAAAGTGAGTTACAGAATCGCAAGGCTGGACAGAAGTTTGGCCACAATCCCACGTGATGTTAAGTGAGATGTGGCCTATTGGAGGGCACGTCTGTCCAGGAGATGCCTGTTCAACCGCCGCTTTAAGTTAGTTCTTAGGTTTACTACATTCATTGTTTAACACATAAAAGTGTAAGGATAAATTTTTTATTGGTTTATGTATACATTATAATATTAGAGTAAACGATTTTATAGTTAAGTCCCTTAAGTATGTTATAAGGAAAAATTAAAATACAATATCGGGCTTGCGAAACTTATATATTATACTTATAAAATATTCTTTATTACTTAGACTATGACAATATAATAATACAAATTCCCACCGTTATATAAAAAATATATTTTTTCTGTAGCTATCATATTTTAACATCAGTGAAATATATAAAAAACAAAGTTAAGTACAATGTATCCACTAGGTTTCGTGTTGAGTGCATCAAGGATTACACCCAATTATTACTTGAATTTATAAATTAGGAATGAAATGTAATATCGAATACAATATATTTTGTCACCATAAATTCCACAAGCGATATCAATCACAGAGGATAAGTTTAAACTATATTTTAATTAAATTACTGTAACAGTTTATTAAAGTATGACGTAAATTTTCGTTTTGAATATTATTAATACATTTGGTATTATATTATTAACAAACGTTTCAATATCCATTTACCTACATCTGAATATGGATTTAATTTATTTTTAGAACAAATCAAACAAGTAGGAGACTCACCCGAGGAACATTTCAAATGTTTAACTCCTTTAGTACATTGCTGATGAACTAAGCGAGTTAGTTTCTTAAAGCCTTGTAACCTTTAAGCAATAATGAATTTATGTAGTGATATTACAATTACAAGTAAATTCAAGTATGTATTTGTCGTTTGTTTATAGACAGTATCTAAGAAAAAACTACAACACAATCTAACTTAAACTTACATTAAAACAAAGAAATTTCACGAAACTGGAGATTCTAGGAATAAATAATGACTGCCGGATTATTATTTTATTTTTGATTATAGTTCGCTTTTTCCCACTCAATGATCTTCTTTGTGCATTAATTGATATAGGGTTAAACACTGATCATTATCATAAAAAGTGCCTGAGGGACACATAAAAACACTTTCCAATACTCTATATTCTAATTCCTCATCATTGGGCTGCTTTTCGTATATTATATCTTCGTCAATTTCTTTATATGCTTCTAAATTGTTTCCTTCCGCTGTTCCTTCATTCAATGTTTCTGGAAATATCAATGAATTTTCCAGTTCTATACTAGGAGCACCTTCTATCTGTATAGTTCTTGATGTCATTAAACGTAAAAATATAGTCGTAGTTATTATTACTATGATTATTAGTTTCATTGTTTACTTTTATATACGAGATATTTACGTATGTAAGCGTCACTGAAATTTTCAATTGGTAAATTTAAACGTGTTTACTGTTATGTTACTCAAATGCGTTTAGAGAATCTATGAACATATAATGAATCATAAGTAAAATTGACGCATCGTTAAACCCAAATTTGGTAAGTCAGAAGTGTGCCTTTGAAGGGGAAATTGACTGTAAAATCAGAACATGACTATTATGTGGCTTATTTAGTAATAGGCATAACTTCTTATCTTTGTTGTACAGAATGCCACCAATAATTTTCCTGGTCCAAGCAAATTTGAGGTTCCTGATTTTTCTACAGTTCATTTTTAAAAATATATTTTACATTGCAGTCTCTATCTATTAAAGTGAAGACATTGTTCTATTTACCACTTACCACTGTTTAGCGTTTTTCACTAACGCACCCTTTTTCCTTTTTAACCAAAAGATTGAGTGAAAACACTAGTTCCGTGGTGTCAAGAAGTTGAATAGCCTCGACATTCATGTGATAATGAAGCCTTCTCTAATGAGCTCCAGTCGATCATAAGGCGGCCCGTGGTACTTTCTTTTTGTTGCTAAACTATTTTAAACTAGTGATTGACAAGAAATGTACCTGTATGATTTATTTAGATAAGTATTAATAAAATATTTATTAATACAGCAACTGAAACCACCTTAAAAGAGGGACATGTATTATTGTTACTTTTTATTTTTGCGTAACTGTATATGCAACGAAACTCAACTTATCGCAATGCAACTCAAAAAAGAATACGTGTTTCAGTTATTAAAATATATATATTTTTTTTATATAAACTAATAGGAGCATAAATATTCAATAGCAATTGATCATCAATTAAATATTCACACAATTTTTTAATCCAAAGTATCCTAAACCAACCTGTTTGGTTGCTATAAAATTGTTATAAATTCTTCAGGTTTGTTGTAGAGCTGCTACAGCTACAGAAATATCCCCATAGAAACAGATGCTGATGTCGAACAAGAATTGAGACCGGAAATGTACATTATTATGCTTTAGGTAGATATTATTCAAAGGAACTTCAACTTTTTAATTGTATAACGAAACATTCAAGGTCACTTTAAATATTTAAAGGAATTAAATAAAAAAAGTGATATTTTTTGACATTTTACTTCTTAATATCTATAGAGATAATACATAAATACCCTAGTTAAGAATTGAATATTTATTGGAACAACAACATTTTTATAGTAGATCAGTATATCAGATATAATAATTATTTTACGTAATCGAGAATCTTGCAATCACAGTGCTTAAGCTTTTTCAGTCCTTAAATAAAACGCGTTCCGCTGAAAACTGACACCAGAAAACACCATACACTGCGGAAATCGTAACAGTATTTCTTCTGTAGTATTTCACTGAACCCCTCCCTATAGACGGATACGTTAGCTTATCCTAAAGTTCTATATAGTTTCTTATTACCTTTAAAAAACTGGTACAATGATATACATTCGTATTGTTGCTTTTGTGTATTGCATAGTTTCAAATGACCTTTAGGACAGTTAAATGCATCAAACAGAGATTTATTTAATAATTCTGGATCACTATTTGAATAGTCCTTTATTTCTTCGAAATCATCTTCAAAAAAAATAATTCCATTACTATCATCTTCCGATGGGTTGGCCTGATATTTTCCTTCAATCGTCACAGAATTCTGTATCACAACACTGAGAACATAGTATGCGAATATGTGTTTAAACTGTGAAAACATTTTGCAAGAAAAGCGACTGATTTATATTAAAATAAATTTATAATTGAGTTCGGGACAAGCAATTCGTATCTAAATAATAGATAACAAGGCATGAGGTCACACACTCAGGTCTTGCTCTAATCAGAATTCTCGTGACGTGTATACAGTGGCGTAACTATAAATGGCAAATTCCCGTGGCAAATTCTTTAGATGTGGCCCTATCAGTAAAAATCGTCACATTGTACTCAGTTTAATTTTAATAAAGTTGAGTTTTTCAGAGTACTCTATTACACTCTCTTAGGCGAGAGGGAATGGTCTGTAGTCCCATCGCTAGCCCGATGCGTATTGGAGATTTCACATTCATCCAGAGAACATAATATCTCTTGGGCAGGAGCCCTCTTGGGTCGGGGGCCCGTGGCATTTTGCCTGCCACCCTATTATTGCGGATATAAGGGACCTTAGGTCTCTCTTTGGAGGGTTGGCAGGCTGAGTAGGCCTTTTGGCAGGTGGACCGCCGTTAGCGGAGCGCTTCTTCTTGCGTCCGCCTGCTTGGAAACCGTCATATTCGGAAGATGACGAGAGGGCTTTGTCAACTGTTACCGCCGGAGCGGATTGGGTCGACATCGCCAACAATGGATGCGCTGGGTTTCCCGTCTCCTCATCGCTTGCGCTTCCCACTTCAGGGAGTGGTAAGCGCGAAACGGGTTAGAGGTTGGCGGATCCTTGGGGGCATTTTTCCTCGTATGGGAGGAGACATAATAAATAAATACTAGGTTCTACTGGTTAAAATATACAAGAAGACTAAAGAAATAGTTCCTTTCCACTGTCTGTCTAGATAAATCCTTTAAACTGCCCTTTAAGGTTTTTGACATACGTCTCATTAGCGTGCTATGAACGTCTGAGGCACGGATACGAGCACAACCCGAAGGTGAGGAATCGGTCTAATAGGCATAAATAGATATACATGCGTTTCCATACACATCATATATTTTTGTATAAGATTATGGAATCACTCGGTGCTGGCAGACTCTTTCATTATTGTCACGCGGGTGAAGTCGGAGATAATAGCAAATTATCCCCGACTTCAACAAACAAACAACAAAAAAACAAATATTCACAGAACATGCAATGTGTTTTGTATAGAATCCTCGTCTCATTTGCATTTGCTATATAGAGGAAAATAGCTTTTATTATACCAATAATAAATTCGACTTCCGATCAAACCATTTAAAGCACCAAAGGGCTTTGCTGACATTCCGATATATTATTACAGTCTGTTTTCTGTGTTACTATCAATTTTTATATGTCAGCTTATGGGCGGGTTTCGGATGTTTTTATGTTTCGAGTTGGATATTGGCGTTTCGTTATTTGAAATCGGAACTGGGCCGAGTTTATTTCAAAGGTGTTGATATGTGAATTATTCAATGAATGCTACAAGGGTCTTTGCGTCCTACCTAGTGTACAATATACCATATGTATCAATCAAATTAATTGTATCTTTCTGTTTCTCTCAAGACGGTTTATTGTGTAGCATCAACCAAACGTGTGACATTTTATAGTTCAAAATCCTCTTATCAGTTGACTCGGAACATAATTTGGAAAAACGAGAAATCAAACTTACTTTACAAATGTTAGTACAAAAGTCCTCGTCCACCGATGACAGTAAAGAGTCCTAGGAAGTGATAAAAGGTCGTTAAAACGTTCTAGAATGCAATAAACGGGTGACTTTTCACTCAACAGCTCAAAATAGCGTTAAATGTAATACAAATACAAATAGGACAAACTAGAATGCTGATAGTATTTTGGACTTTGTGTTCGTATTTAAAATTTTAGGGAGTTGGAGTTCGTCGTAGACAATAATGTAGATACTGTGACAATAATAACCTACGCCCATACTCTGTAATTTTGCTCTTCTTCTATAGTCTATACCTACCCCGAAGTTTTTGTATGCAAGTTTTATACAGTTCTTTCAATATCTGTAGCGCTGATATTGCAAATATCGGTAAAAAAACTCGCGTCTCGCTATTGGGAGTTAAGGAGTAACGATATTAAACATAAAATTGTATAGGAATGATAATTTTATACTTCGTTACATCGATTGACGTTGGTGCTTGTGCAAACTATTTTAGTTTACGACGCCAGAAGTATACATAATAATATAACATATATGACTTCAGAGATCAATTTTTTGATCAATTACCCATTCTATCAATTATTTGGGAAAGAATCCATTCTCTATAGCAATAATGTATCAATTTCATAAATTGAGCAATTTTTGTCGCTCGTTTAAACCAAACTTCACGCGCTGAAATCGCAATCACGCCGGCGCTACGCTTGAAAATTTCTTTTTAATTTCACTTCAATTCCCAATACTAATATGCCCGATGAATGTACTATTATTGAGGTTCAATTTAATTTTATGCTAATTTTGCTCAAATATTTAAAAAAGAGAAATAAATCGTACTTTATTGAACAATAAACCTTATTTTGCATTAATTTTGCGACCGCCTTTTTAATGGCGTAGGAAATTAAAATAGTGTAATTAATACCAACTCATTTATAACAACTAAAATAGGCTGAATTCATTAATTAGTCCTATGTGAAATGTACACTCTCAATTTTATAACAAAATAGTTAATATTCATAACTATATAGACTCAAAAAATTACGCTATTCATAGGGTGCAAATTTGTTTAACATAAGTTAATATGATTGTGAATTACATTATTTTATAACTACGTTTCTCTCAAATAATCGATATTAGAATTATATGTTATATATGTGAATATATTAAAAACTGCATACAAATCATTTGTACATAGGCTGCACTAAAAGTATCGGGAATGGAATAATACCACTGTTCCTGTCATATTTAAATCTTTTTAATTGAAAACTCCTTTTTTTTTTTAAAAAAGATTCTCGGTCTTTTCACAAAGTTTTGTCAAACTTGTTTAGTCGTTGAGAAAATGGAATTGACTCGAGAAAATTCAAGAGCGATGATTTATTATGACTTTCGAAGTGGTTTATCACAAAAACAGTGTGTTGACCGGATGATTTCTGCATTTGGTGATGAAGCCCCATCCAAAACCACAATTTATCGCTGGTTTGCTGAATTTCAACGTGGACGTGTCAAGCTCAGTGATGATCCCCGTCAAGGTCGTCCAAAAACTGCAGTCACCCAAGAAAACGTTGATGCTGTGCGTAAGCTGATTGAGGAAGATCGACATGTGACATACTGCGAATTTCAGGCAACTTTAGACATTGTCATGAGTCTGCATGCAGAGTATAATCTTGCATGAACAATTAGGTGTAAAAAAGTTGTTTTCCCGATGGATCGGTATCCATTCGCTCTGTGAAGAGCAAAAAGCGTTTTGCGTTACTTGGTGCGTCAGAACTCTCGAAAGAATCCACGCAGGATCCTCAAATGCTATACAACATCGTATCAGGTGACGAATCCTGGATATACGCGGACGTACCCGAAACAAAAAACCAGTCACGAGTTTGGGTGTTCGAAAATGAGTTAAAGCCAACGAAAATTATTCGTTCACGGAGTGTTGCAAAAAAAATGGTGGCCACGTTTGTCTCCAAAACCGGCCTTGTTGCGACTATTCCTCTTGAGGGACAAAGAACGGTTAATGCAGAATGGTATGCTAGCATTTGTTTGCCACAGGTCGTTTCTGAACTCCGTAAAGAGAACTGCAACCGCCGCATCATCCTCCATCACGACAATGCGAGTTCTCACACCGCGCACAGAACAAAAGAGTTTTTAGAGCAAGAAAACATAGAACTATTAAACCATCCACCGTACAGCCCCGACCTAAGCCCTAATGATTTCTATACTTTCCCTAAAATAAAGAATAAATTGCGTGGTCAGAGTTTCATCACCTGAAGAAGCTGTGGACGCCTACAAAACGGCCATTTTGGAGACACCAACTTCCGAATGGAATGGTTGCTTCAATGATTGGTTCCATCGTATGAAAAATGTGTCAAATTTCGCGGAGAACACTTCGAAAAAAAATTAAATACATTTTTAAATAGTAATGTCGTATCACATCCTTGATTCCCGAAATTTTCCTTGCCGCCCTCGTAACAATATACTTTTGAACTAAATTGAAAAAAAAAATTTTTTATATTTTCATCGGCTAATAACTAAACTATATGATATATGTGTATATTATCTTTAACGCATACAAATAGCATTTGTAAATAAAAAAAAGTATTACTTATCTCTGGTGAATTTTTTTATATTAGATATATTGACAGCAAGGAAAAAAAACGACGGATTGCACTCCGGGAGTGCCAGTAGAAGTGAAAACTTGAATATTAACGTTGTGCATTTTTGATATTTTGGAATGGTTAGGGATTAATTTTGCACGAATTGCTTTATTATCAGTATAAAAGTACTATAAAATTTATGTGGTAGAATACAATATTTATTTATTGCGCTATCGTACACAAACATGACAATTTATATTACATTAAATACGCCGCGCCAGCTGTCTACTCTCCATCCTTTTTCAGTCTGACCAAATCGTTAATAATAAAGCTTTAGACGTTTCTCAAAATCAAACCTTGATATCCAATGTCCAGACTTCAGGTCCAGTTCTACATGCATCAATGTATCTGAGGAAAGAGACAAACGAATTAAAACCGTAACTATTATATATAGCACGAAGGTTCATAATCCTTTAAAAAACATCCGTCTTACGAATTTGTCCTGACGCGAGTTTAACAGTTTTTACCCATTCCAAAAAAAGTGTACAACGCCGCTAAAGAAGTTATCACTTCAAAAAAATCCATAACCGACGAGCATGCATGGCGAATGTGAAAGTGGATGAAGGAGAGGCATGACAGGACAGTAGCAAGTAGAGATACGTGTTCTCTGCCTACTCCGGAAATAGTGTGTGAATTTATGAATGAATAAAGGTATCTCTTTTAAGTTAGTGTATGTTATATAAAACTGAAAAAAAAAATAGTTACCATTTTTTCAGTTTTCTAACTTTCATATCCATTAATTGGAGTGTAGTACGAACATCCTGTCTATAACATTAAGATGATATAATTTAAAATATTTAAGTTGTTATTAGCCTCAAAAACAGGTTTAAGCATAGATTTATATCGTTAGATAGGACCCTTACCGCAGTGAGACCGCGCCGTGTTGTTCCACAGTCGAAGTGAGTGAGCTCACTAACCTGGGATCAGTGGACCCCTAAACACAGTGTTAGCCGGACGTGTTGTAAAGGACGTTTGCGAGCAGTTTAGTGTCACAAAATGCCATCGTGTACCTTTCTAAAGTGCAACAACAATTCTAGAAACACAAATAAAGCCAGAGATGTAACATTTCACTTGTAAGTATTGCGATTTGATTTAAAAACTTTTATTTTTTCTTCCGCACTGTCTAAAATAACAAATTTAAATGGCGAGTGCACGAAAGAGAAAGTAGTGTTTGCAACTAATATAGGAGAAAAAGAGATGACACTATTTTCTCAGTACATAGGTAATAACAACAGATAAGTACAATGGCAGAAACACGATTTTTTAACTACCTACTCGTTAGTGTGCGTGGGTCGGCATTTTGTTAACGCACACATTCAAAAACAATGCCACAGTTTTTGGTGTCGGGG